TTGGCATAGCTGAAAGATTTTTTTTAAAACAAGTCGGACAGAACTTTAGTTCTTCACCCAGGTTTAACTGCAGGACAGTGCAGCTTTCTGAGTAAATGTTTTCGGTAAGTCGTAGTGCGACTTCAGAATACCGTACCTGGCATTACTGAGGACATCTTTGAGGGAATCTCTGAGCTTTTGTGAATTTTCCAGATCGTCCTTTTTCAAAACAATACCTCCGCCATGTTTCGTCAACATGTGGGCATTTCTGGTCTGATCGGAAAAGAGAGGGATCTGGAAGAAAGAATAAAATAAATAAAAAACCAGTATTGAAATGAAGAAAAAATATGTAATCAATCGAAATCGGGTAAGGGGAGGCTTTGCAAATGTGCGAACTTGATAATGTTGCATATTCAATGGCTAGATGCGAGCTGGCGGGTATAGGTAGGCAAATCGAATCATCAGGAATGGGGATATTGTAAACTGAAAAACCCGCTCTCATCGCCAGCTTTCTCCACCTGAATACATTAGAAAAGGTGCTAGGTGCACCTACCAGTAACGCTGGTTTTCCCATATGTGCAAGTTCCGTGGTACTGCCCAATCCTCCATGAGTAATGAAGGCGGTAAGGCGGGGATCAGCTGAAAGGATTTCTTTCTTCACGAGGCGTTACACTCTTACTCCTCGAAATAATGGACTGACCAAGAAGAGCGTTTTGCGGTAACCAAGTGCTGAGGTGAACATTTTTGAGGTGAGCTGCCACTTTTGATGATTCCTCTTCGTATTTCCAAATGAAAGTCGTCTCTGGCATGCTCTCGAAGACTTCGAGAAGTGTCTTCCTGAAAGATCAAATCTACGAAATTAATTTTAAAACAATTAAATCCTTGTGATTAGACCAGTTAAAGGGGTGGTAAGTACTATGTACATACACAAGGATATACTGTTTATTTGTCAGCATACCCACAACCTTGGCTTATCACTATTTCTCAGAGACTACGATCATCAAAAAGGTCTCTGGGGTATTGATATACAGTGTATTCGAAGAAACGGCTTACTTATATTTATCCGGCATAAGCACCGATTTTGCCATTGAACCAAACGATACCAGTACGGTAGTATTCCTTCTATTCAGTATATCATTCCATTCCTGCAAAAAAAGTAGGAGAATCAACTTTTTGAACGAGATTCGGTAAAAAAGGACTTACTTTTGAAAGGACATTCTTCTTGGAATCGGTAGCCACAGCTATTCCACCTATTGGAATGGTTTTGTGAAGCATTGGACGTGGAAAGTCGATGTAAGGATTCGAATTTGTGAATGCATAAGAGATATCAGCTAACAGCTCCTGTAAGCGGAAATGATAATTGTTGATCTTCAGTGATAACCTGTTTAGTCTGTTAAGTTTTCAAATTCAGCTACTTCATCGAAATCTAATTCAGTACCTCATAACCTTTGAAGTGCGGCCCAACTTTCGCTCGAAACACTTCGATTTCTTCAACAAACACGCTACTGAAGAATCGTCCTCCGACCATCACACTGACCAAGTTTTTGAATCGTTCGAAGAAGTTCATACGGTCACCATTTGTAGCCATTCCACCTAGAACGAATCGGTTACTTTGGTTATTTCATAAAAAAAAAGTCCAAGGAAGGATCAGATGACCCCTTCACATATTGAAGTAAATCTGTAAAGATGTGGTGTACTGGACCGGCGTACTCCTTGCTCCCTTGCAACAGCCTCTAACGCTCTCGAGTACCTCTGAGTTGTGAGGGCAAATTCTAGCCATGGCGTATCCCGAAAGTAAGTCATGAGAGCTCCCTTCTTCCTAGGAAGCGCTAGAAACCGAAGTAGGTGACGGTGCAAGTCAGTCCCGACTAATTCTTTCCCTTACTGGATCTGCCCGGTTTCTGGTTCCCCAATTACGGTACCTGCGGCTACAGTACTACTGTTGTTCCTACAGTATCAGCACTACCGTTATTGGATCACTATATTTGTTAGTGATTAGGTAAGTCAGTAAAACTTACCAGGGACATAGCTTGGCATGATCGGTTCACCGATGCCTGCCGAAAGGCAATCCATATGAACCGCTGAGAATACGCCAATTGAGGCAGGAATTTTCAGATACTCGAATATTCCTGAAGTGTACGATACCATTAGCAGAGCCGTTTGAGTTTTATGGATTACATTCAAATCAATATCTACCTAATCCACATATTTGTACGGTTTCTGAGATGCCTACATCGAACTTCTCATCTGCCAACTGTTTCATTAGTTCATCGTCGTTGACAAGGTCTGAATACACAGTGGTACTTGCTTTTGAAAACTTTGGAAAGGTTTATTCCTACTATCGTTTCCATTTATGTTGATTTTCTTCCCTGCGGTAGAGATGGTCTTTGAGTAATGAGCTCACGGGTGGAGCAAGGAATAGAACGGAATTAGTAGGACCATAAAAGTCAAGAGAAGAAGCTAAATAGTTTGGTTGAGGCTTGAAGACGAAAAAAATTTGCACGCAAGAGGGATATGGGTAGGCAATGACTGAAAAAACGTTTGAGCTCCCATTTATAGATTTGAAATAACCTATTCAGATTTTTGAATAAAACTCAAATAATTAAAAATTGTTAAAATAAAAGAGCATATTTCAACAAAACTCACTTTGACACTGATTGACGAAAGACGTGGTCATATTTTTTGCCATCTGAAATTTAGCTTATCAGCTAATCAATAAGCTAAGTCTCAATGGCTCAATAAATAGAGTGTATGTCACGGCAATGTATTTTGAAATGATGAGGATTGAAAACACTACAATTTTTTTAGCATTTCTATTTTAATACCATATCTGACATGCTATATAAATGGTTTTTGAAGCAAAAGCAAAGCTAGACGGCGCGCAGCTTACGTTTATGGTTGGCGATTGTATTTATTTGGGCTGAGCATGGAACTACCGTTGTAACGATAGGGTGTTCAAGATGCTTGTTNACAGGATTATATCTAGCATAAATAAGCAGCATAGCATAAGCACCCATTCTGAATAGTTCAGGCTATGTTTGAATGCACATACCTGAAGAAGTCCGAATATGGATGGCTCCATTGTCCACATTTTGCTTAAGATGTCATCCACACTTCCAAACATGGCGCGACTTCGTGGATCTGCTGGAACTTTGATGATTTTCGTGGTTAGCTTTACTCCAGTTTTATTCTGCTGTCCTTCGTCCAATATTGGCAACAGGATAGTCTGAAATTTAAGAATCATTTCCCTGGTAAAATTTGAAAATGTTCAGACTGAGGAATTGGAAACTCACCACATTATGACCAGCCTCTGTTAAAGTGTCGGCTAAGGCACCCATGAAGTTCGTATGGGAATAGCCATATATGGGTGAATAAACGAGGAATTTGTAGGCATCAGTGGAATACAGAGAGATCGTCAATAGGAGCACTATAAATTGTTTCATTTCTGGAAAATCGCAATTGAGCCAATATAATTGGTCATGTATGTCACGGCAATGTTTTTGACGCGACGGCATATGTCTAATAACAATGCATCAGTGATCGAAGTGCAATATGGCTTTGTCCGAAGCATTGATGCATCAAAAAGAGATTTGCAGATTCCGCGCGGAAATAGAAGGTAAGGGAACAGTGGGGCGATCAGTTGGCTGGGAGAACCTTCACCTACTCATTTGGGGTCAGATATTTTGGTAACAAGTATAGGCACCTTTTTTCGTAATCTTATGCAATCACATATCGGCAAGAAATTGCAGCTCTTACACATCAAAAATCGCCTCTCTCGTGAGCCACGATAAGCTTTGATTCTTGGCTTATCTTTCACCGCTTTCCCGAGCAGATACTGTAGTCCGCTTGTTTTCTACGATACAAATACGTGATGATATCATCTTTACACCAAGTTTAATGTTATGCAAATAGATTTGAACTTTCGATAGACTATTCGTTTATAAATAGCTATGACTGTGTTATGAAAATTTACACTTTGCAGAAGGGCACATTTTGACACCAAGTCTGACCCCTTACTCCGGGCGGGGAAAACAATGGAAAGACTATGGGTCATTAGGAAGTCTGAGAGCAACAAGAAGGAAAGCTTTTGAAAAGCTGTAGTTCGTATAATGCCTCAAGCTTGATGAATATTGTAAGAGCACTTCGGAATTGTCAGCTATACATCGTATTAATCTCGTTCCTTTATCAATCGAACTCATCCGATCCTTTTGGATGGAATGGTCTTGCAATGTGAATACTAGTCGTCCTTTTCTTATGGGTTGTCAGGACAAGAAAGGGTAAAAAATGAAATCTTCGGAGCTAATTGAACCCTTTTTTAACGCACCCTACGATTCAACTTCCATCCAAAATCAGGGAGAATTCAGGGGTGGTTCGAATGCGTTTGGGACTTGTACAATGACTTGTGGTGACCAGAAGATGTACAAGTCAAAACTTTCATCCTCCCAGACTAGATTGGTACCACTTAACCGACCCCGGAGGGATGGAAGGCTAGGTTGGCCTTTGAAGGTATCGATCTGGGATTCGTTCCCTAACCATCATGTGTGAAATTGCGCCATTTACACATACACCATCTCTACCCAGGAAATTCAGTGAATTGAATCGAAAGAAATTCGCCGGAATGGGAGGACTAAAGGGCGTAATAACCCAAGGAACTCTTCATTCACAATAAAGAGTGACCTATGACTACCAACACTTAGTGGTGTATTTCCATTTTCAAGTATTTTTCATGCAAATCTGTTTTTCGAAGAAGTCGTCAATATATAAGGAAGCTGTTAACCGTTTATGAAGGATCCCGCCATGAAATTCATTCCATGACGAAAAAAATTCTTTCAACCTTAGAACTTCAAGATCTTTTCTGCTTGGTCACTGCTGTTTCTTTCCCGAACAGGCCTGGTACAAACCAACCGACACCTGTGGGAAGGTTCAAGTGAACTAGGCGCATATCGGTCCCTGGCCACGGTAGCTCTGTAGCATTCTAATGAAATGTCACTTCTGCCAGATTGATTAGTTGCTCTTATGTCAAAGATCGCTATCCGTGGCCTGGTTTTAATAGTAAAGATGGAAATAGTATGAATAGACCAATAGATGTAAATGTTTTCGGCCTATTTCTGAAAACGTCAATGACAATTAGCAAAATATTTTAGAAAAAGGGTTTGTTTGGAAAACGACTACTACGGAGACAGCATTTATCTACCAACTTCTTATCAAGTGTCACAGAAAGGGTGATATCGTATCTGGCGGCTTATGCTTGCACAAACCACAACTCCAATAGTTTTGACTGCTGGTGCCAAAGCCCACCAAGCTCTTGAAAGTAATTGAAAGAAGAACAGGTGAATCAGTTCGAAACAAATTTGAGATTGATTTTATTAAAATTTTTTTGGGGATTTTCTAGCATAGCTTTCTTCCACCGTTTTGACCACTTTCAACTACTCTAGCCTTGGACCTTCATATTCTACCGTCCCGTTGATGATCCATAGGCTTGAGCGAGTGCAGTAACGTCTCCATTGGTCGTGGTGGCGAACCATCGTAGGCCAGCGGACATAAGGACCTAGGGCGTGTATGGGCCCAATGAAGGTGCTATTTTCGCTTTGATCTATGATGTACCACTTTTTGCGAATCGGCATTTTGCCATTCTCACACGATCACCTTAATCAGTAATCGTCATAAATCACACTCCGCAACCATATGGCGGCCCATGATATCAGTACGCTATTAATGGCTTCGTTCAACGGAAGGACCAAACTTTCTTTTGGTGTCGGAAGAATAGTCAGGCAGGAGGCAGTCCTACTTCCCGAAGTTCCGTCTCAGACGTTTTTACATCAAAAAATCATTACTCATGGAGACTTTTCACTGAAATTCGCAATAAAGGATATTGCAGGAGACTGAGGCTCTCAAGACCCACTCAATGTCCACAAACGAACCACAAACGGAATTGCTGTATAGGTAAGAACTTGTAAAACGCTAGAAAGAGTTCAGTCAATTGGATCAGCCCCGCTACGCATGAGGTCTTCAATAACGGCCGTATATATCATCGCAGGACAGGAATACTTTGCAAATCGCCCTCCCAGAGCCATGTGATCAGAGCAAGAGCTCGACATTGTTCAAACATCCCACAAACGAATAGACATGAAAACGAACCATAACGTTAACCACTGTAGAAATGGACGTTCTGGCTGTCAATATACTACTTTCGAAACGAGGACGGGTACTGACTGGGTTCCTCGGATGTCGCAAAAACACGAGGACGGTAGCCAGCACGATATTCGGACTCCTTCACGACAACTCCCAGCGAAAGAAGAGCTACGACTAGTATCCCTCGATCGGGACGAAATAATGGGCTACGCTGGATCGCTACAGGAGCATACGGGAGCGTTANTAGGAAATACAAGAAATACTCTGTCTCTCCCACCTGTTTTTCGGAGAATAGGCTAACCAAGGAAATTCAAAATAAGTAACAAAAATGGTAATGGTTTAAATTCGTCTAAAAAGGAAGAGATATGACTAATTCCGATCAATACCGAGTTGGCTGAAGGATGGGTAAAGAATAACAGGGTCTTACGCATGCAGCTACCTAACCAGTTCCCCTACCTGCCCTAGGGATGTACCACAAAAACATATCGAAAAACATATTAAAAACAATCCTGGGAGCAATTATTACCCTTAATGTGTTCAGAATACGAGGATAATTCTCAATTCCTGGTATACCATAGCCATACCCGCTCGAAGATGGTCGGCCCTGACTTCTGCTTGGAACGGTACCGGACAGAACTAAATACCATCGTAACCACATGGATAACCTACGGTGGAGTTTGGGTCCGATATCCGCTCAGGCCGGGTAATAACCTCAATCCATACCCCTGGTACCAGTTGATACATGCCACGCTAATCTGGGGAAGTAGGAGCCTGGCGTTGGCTGACCCTTTGTATAGGCCGTAACGTACTCAAAGACCGAATCGGAGTCGAATGCAAGGGCGCATCCTAAGCTGAACGAATGGTACTTCAGAAGTCTCATAATTAACTTGTTTTGAGTTGTTTTGCTGACCGGCAGAAGATTGTTTACCGGTGTTTACTTTTCATTCTGTTGGATCCATTACACCACAGGAATGGTCGACAACTATCCAGTACATGCCAGAATTGAATATATTTGCTTATGAAGCAGCTAATAACTAGTACCAACCCGGCAAGCATTCGATCTTTTCGTCGCCACCCACGCATCTATTGATTACAACGGCCGAGTTGCTGTTTTATCGTTTGACAAGGACGTCTGATTATTTCTTGAATTGCATGCCTTTCTCGTTCTTTTGTTTTCTCGATTTTCCCTTTGTCGCCACTCCGGGTGAAGTCTCAGCTCCAGGAACAGTTTTCTGACCTCAATTTCCCAATTGGAACCTTTTTCGTGCAACGATTGGGAGTTACCCGACAAAAAAGATCAAAGAACAGCCTAGTTCGTTAATCAATATATTATCAGGGGCCGTTACGGCATTTACTGGGAAAGAATAGATTAGTAATGTTGCTTTTTTACCCAGTCCTTTCCACCTGAATCCTTCGTAGACGCCTTTTCTTTGGCCATTTCAGGTCTTCACTCTGTCAACTATTTTAGGGAAAATCTGTGCTGGATGATGCTTGACGACAAAAAACTTTTTCTCGGAATTGTCGGTACCTCGATTATCGTCTACAATGTATGTGAACTTGTTTTGTAAATAGTTTCTCTTTTTTTCAAAACAGTAAGCATGAAATGAAATCGAATAATTCAGTGCCTCTTCTGGGATGCACCATGCATTTGATTTCAATTCGGCATTGTAGTAGCGGTTTGGACCTATACTTTGACTTGCGGTGGCCAGCCGATGTACGAGTCAGTACTTTAACCTCCCAGACGGGTCTGGTATCAATTAATTGACCCCAGAGGTATGGAGAGCTTCGTTTTTCTGGGCAGATATCAACCCGGTATTGGATCCCAGGATCAGGCGTATGTGATACTGGGTCACATGACACTACACCACCTCTACCCATATAAGAAGTATGAAAAGATTAGTATAAATAGATAAAACATATAAAATACGAATAGATCGAAAAAATCGAACTTGAAATGGAAGTAACGCTCGGTAAAAGTATATTTGAACGGATTGGTGTCCCTAGACATGCTCGTCTTGGGACTGGGACAAGAGTCACTTATCGGACTCTTACATTGTTAATGTGCAAGGGCCAGCTGGAATATTCTAGCTCGGCTGAGTTGGTTGCCTTTTATAGCCGGGAAACAAATAGTAAAAATAGATTTATTGATACGTTATTGCTACATATTTTTCTAAAAGACCAGTTTTAGCGGCGTGCACGTGACGAGAAATTATCTGCATAAGGAGTGGGCGAAGCCGAAGTGGTATTGAACGACACAAACGTGCATGGCGCAACCTAGAGGGTAAAAGCCTGGCAACAACTTCTTTTTCCAGGGTATCCGCTTTGTGGTAAATTGGCTTCGCGTCGACCGTTCGCCTTGGATTCCCGTTGGGACCGTCAAAGCTCTCTATGTCTATCCAGTAAAATCCTGCAAAGGCAAGAGTGTGAGTTGTTCGTTGACGTTTATACTTAGGAATCCTGCTGGATGGACGATTCTGCTCTTAATCATTCTCAGGCCTGACAATGAGACTACTCGTCCATTCTGGGTGTTCTTACGAAAACCTTTTCAGTAATCGTAAATTCAGAGTTTCTTCTAGAATACTGCTTACTACAGGTGTTCTCAATGTACTGTGATGCGATGGGCCCGATTGCGGGTGAAATAAAAGATCGTCAGTTTATCGTGGTGAATGGCAAGACAGGATTGTAGGTATTTTTTCATTCATGTCTTTACCACTGCCCCGGAAGCACCGCTGAATTCAAACAGAATCTCCCAAACTGTTATTTACCATTTTGTTCCATACGATGATGTTGGAAAAATTGGTGGTTGTTCCAATAACTACTTCAATCTGTTATATTGTCGATACTGAATGATATTTGGTAGTCATTAATAATAACCTTGAAACAATGGACGCCTCCTCTGTCGACACTACGTGGTACTCGGAACATGCTTTGGGAGTTGTACTGGGAGGACGTGTAGTGATACTTCCAATCTCTTCACACCTCTTTTCACTCTCATACTTATCTAGGTGCTTCCCTGTGCTGATGCTGATCAGAACAACTCAAATGGCTGTTCTGTGGGTAAACTAAAGAGCGGGCGTGGCACCCCATAATGACTCACTTCGGTCAGGTGTAGGCGTAGTGTAATCAAAACACGGTTCTCATGTCACTACCTCTGATATAAACACGAATGCGTGGCTCCTTCTAAAAGGAGAAGGAACACTCAGTACGTAGGCCTGGTAGTTTCGGTAATGGTAGCGTATGTCACGGCAATGTTTTTGACACGATCATTGGTGCTAAGTTAAGGAAAGTCGAGTAAAAGGTTCGAGCGTTCGTAACTAGAACTGATTGAACGAATGATTCATTAGTGCAGATGAGTCTTGCCTTCAAAGTTTGAACAGTTCGACAGAAAGTCGATGAGTTTGGATGACCTTAGGTCTAGTTACTGGGTGTGATTGGCTGACTTGGAATAGGCAAGCAACTCCCAATTTTCAGATTTTATACCGGAAGACAAAAGCCATCTATGGTGTTGATCGAATGCGAGCTGCAAGACGGGGTCCTAACGATGACATACGTGGATGGACGTTCTGTGAAAGTAAAACTCGATGAGGTCCTCAAACGAAAAGAAGTAAAAGTTGCAAGGTAAATGTTGTCTGTCAAGTATGGCTCAGCCAAAACTGGTTTTAGGTAAGCATATCGAAAAAATAAGTCTTTTAGCCGGGTATCATTGGCTTTTACCCAATCAGTTCGTATCTGAATCATCAGACTTGCAAAAACAGTGAAATAGTCGATGAGAACACCGCGGTGGCTCAAATGGAACATCGATTGCACCCCATTCCATAAACAAGCGTTCGAAGAAATGCCAAATCGAATAGTTGTAGTACAAAACTCTAGGCGCCACTCAATTTTAGGACTGATTAAGCATTTAGAAAGAAAAGGGGGTGGGGGAGAGAGGGAGGGGGAGGTTCCCGTGATGACATGCCTTCGGAAACAAGCATTTAGAAAGAAAAGGGGGTGGGGGAGGCTTTTCCACAATGAAAGATGCGATGGCCTGGATTGTGGGGACGAAGCCGCTTCCTTCCTTACCGACATTCTTCAGGAGCCAGGTAAGTTGAGCTCGATATCTCAGAAGGGCACTGAGCCCCTATCACATTGAAACACTTTCAGACACTCGACTATTGATGTACACCAAGGGGCTGTACACCGAACGAGGTATTGTGACAAAACGAACCTCGTGGAATACGGAAGTTCCATTGAGAACGGACAAGGTATTATAGAAGACCTTTTTCTGGAAAGGTTTTTTGTTGATTCGCTGAAGCCATCTTTACCTCTTTAGACTCTTTTGAAAGCTCCTCAGTTGGAGCAATTACTTTCCATGAGATTCATTGCAAATTACACATTACTAGCAGGATTAACTGTAATTTAGTGGAATTCAGACGGCTTTCGCTGACGACGCCCCATACATGATCATGTCGCAGACCTCTTTGGATAGCCTCAACGAAAGACTGAAAGAAAAGGTCAGAGAAGTTAACCCATTCTTTCAGATCCTTGAAAGTTATCGCAGTTACTACTACTTAGCAGATACTTGCAATTATCTCAGGCGGTGATTGAGCGCTTCCGCCCAGTGATTCTTGTCGATAAGTGCACTGAATGGGACGAAGACAAGTGGCTCAGTGTCCACATTGGAGATACGACGTTGCAGTGTTTGCAGCCATGTTTCCGGTAAGCTCTACAGCCCTAGTTTAGCCCTTGTGGGGAATTTCGAATGAAGCATAGAATCTAGAAATCCTCCGACATTAACCCGCCTCCTTCTTGGCATGCTCCTTCGACTTCTGTGAGGAATCGTATTTCCGAATGCGTATACAGCTTGCACAGCGACGAGTTTTGGTGGCCAGGGATGGACACCGAAGTTGTACCACTTGGCATTCTCTCGTGCGTTTCGATGCGACGTGGCCCACATTAGGAGATGAACAAAGTGGGAGTTTCCTGGAGAACCCACCCAGCTTCGAGGACATGGGCGCAAATTTGCTCGAGTAGTCTAGCCCTATGGTCTGTTGTCAATAAGGCCAGAGGGTTCCAGTCTTTATATTGATAACTGATCAACCTGCTCATCAATTAACCTAGGAGAGTGACCGGTGCTGGGGTTCGGTACCCTCTACAGTATCAATCATGAATTCGAGGAGTAGTTTTGCAGATGCGTCATGACAACGATTCATCCAACTACAGGAACTATGGACTCGGCAGTGGAACCATTGAAAACCCTGCGATCGTTGGTTGCACCTGTAAGCTTGCAATCCTGTAGGAAATTTATTTTTGTTAAGGTTCCGACTGGCTCCCGAAGGACCACTACGAGATGAACACAAGGACAGTCCAATGTTCGGAGTTGATGCTGGAATCATTACTCCAGTATGTTCCTCCCTTAACAATTTGGCTCGTTCCATTCAATGACAGCTCTATTTTAGGGTTACATCCACGTTGGGCAAACCGTCTACGTTCGTTATAAGTCGGCTTATCGAAAATCGACGCCATTTTATTACCATTGAAACTTTAGCACTTGTTTGTCATAAATGAAAGATGTCATAATCAATTAGTTTGTTTATTACGACATACTATTACACACGGGGAACACCCTGAAGAGATGTGACTTCCACCTTATCGAAAGTGTGCCTTACCCAAACACAGCCTTGGCCGATTCTGAAGGTGTATGAAAAAATTCCATCAGGTTCAGAAGATCCAGAGATAAAGGGTAGTGACCTTTGAAAGCTCCCGGCCAGACTTGCAATCCCATAGATTTCATCATTGGCTTTGGAAGACAGAAGGGATGCTGTGTTCCAAAAAGAAACACAACTAGAGCAATCGAGCTCTTCAACCTGCCTAGATCGTATTCATGCCATGACCCGGTTCTGGACGTAGCTGAAGGGTGGAAAGCATTGAGTAGGCTAACCCTCGCCTGCGTTGTATCAAGCCTTCTTACTGTGAACCACTCAGAAAATTCTTCCAGAGCTATGTAGGGGCCATCGCAGTTAGCTACTACTCCCTCATTCGAGGAAGCGCTGAGCAGTGTAGGAACCCGGTAGGAGCCCAGATGGGCTAGAATGGCATGTTCAACACTGCTGAACTTGGGCTACACGTTTATCAGTGCATTCTATTTATTCAGATCCAATGCTCCCTTTGATCAGCCAAGGCAAGGATAAATGAAGATGACGTGGGAAAATACTGATGAGTAACTTGGCAAACATTACCAAATTGGCTACTGCCCGATGAAACATTGTCGAGGAATGAGTTTGTCCGAAATCGAGAAACCGAAAGAGCAAATGAAGTACGTTTGTATGGGAAATGTGTCTGTGAGAATCTCCAGAACTTGGGTTTCTGATACAGTCCTTTACTCTATTTCAAGTTATTCCCAGCTATTGATGTCTGGGTGAGCGATGTCTTCTCACTGGAGGGGACGCTATCGTGAGAGCTTTCCATCTGGTGCTTCCTAGTTTCACCAGTCAAAGGCTGATGATATTGTGCTTTCAGGGACTATGTATCCCACGAATAGACAGTGTCGACATCCACGTCAACGTCATGTTGACATCGTTTTATGAAATCTTTGTTATTGAAGTGCGATAGTCACGTAGGTTCCCATTGTGCAAGTACACCTACATACAACAAAGGCAGCTGAGTCCTCAACACTGATCAGGCTCGCTCATTCCACAATGCTCGCTAGATTTAGTGACAGAGCTTTTGTGTGGCAGCTACCCCATAAAAACGAATTGACAACGTTTCAAAGTTTCTGGCATGTTTGAAGGTAGGAGGGAAAGAATAAAGTTTTGAGGCGTTAATTAATTCGTCTGATGGATACGCCCAGCACTCAACTACGATTTGGAATCGTAGTGTCGTATTGGATGAGTATGTGGCCGGCACAATGACGTGCGGTGGCCAGGCGATGTGCAAGTCAGTGCTTTTATCTTCCCGAACGAGTCTGGTACCAATTCACCGACCCCGGAGGGGTGGAGGGCTTGGATGGTCTAGGCTGATATCGACCCGGGATTCGAACTCGCGACTATGCGTGTGTGAAGTGCGCTACTACCCACTACACCATTTTGACGTTTTCAACACATACGAGAAGCAGGCGAAGGTGGTGTACTAGCAAGGATGCACTATTGCACGGGCATGGTCCGGAGATGGAATGGTGGATGATTTCCCGTTCAGAACAACCAAGGCTTCCATCTCTCAGAGTTCGGTTAATTGGTGCCACTTGAATCCTGAATAGATGGGAGATTTTTTTGTTATGATCCAGCTCTTTGTTCAGGATCGTAGGATTCTAAGGACAAATCGCACGATATTTGCGGAGCTTCACGAACATCCAGCCACGTTCGTGAATAGAGCCTTGCCCTTGTCGAAAAATGCTCCCCAGATCTGCATAAAAAGGAACGGAAATGGAAGGTTCTGCTACAAGATCAGCTCCACCCGATATGTTTTTCAACTTTTTATGCGCTCTTCTATTGCTCAGCGCCTTCACAGGTGAAGCTGAAGTAAGTTATCGAGATTGTTTGGATAAAGCTGTTTGGATATTGTGGAAATTGAACGTTATGGATCTCTGCCTACTCCACTTTCTTTCTTTTTCAGGGGCAGAGTTGTAGGGACGTGGCAAATGGGAGTTCAGGCAAGAGGTTCTGCGACTACATGAAAACAACGAGGGCACCTGGTGAAACAGAGGACCTATGCAGAAATCCAGTATATAGGCAGATTGCTGAGGGATACTGTTCTAAAACTTGTGGTTTCTGTGATGAGTAATTGGCTAAGTGTATCGATGTCTGTAAATAAATTTATTTTAAAAATTGGTTTTTGTTTGGTTGCAACTTCCAAGTGAACATTATCGATATCCAAACCTATTATGAAACAAAGTGTCAGTAATCCAATATTTAGGTAACGTACTACCAAATAGAGCTCTATGGCACACCATGGTCCATGGTTCGAATCCTGGACCAATATCTGCCCGAGTCAACCTCCGGGGTCGCTTAACTGATACCAGACTCCACTTTAATTCACCCATCACTATCTTTAATAGCCACTACTATCCAAAACGATGGGTGGCGAACTCTACACTTGTGAGGCACAGGATCCAGAACCAAAATCCTTTACATACCATTAAAAGAATTTGGTTCTAGGGATCGTGAATGGCCTTTATGACCGTTTCCCCCAATACCAGTCGTTCTCATTGCTTACCTAGGCGTAGTTGTCCCACAGAAAGCTGCGTAGGAAAGCTGAATTGACGATACTAGTAATACAGACGGATGCACCTAGGCTTGGTGATTGTACACGCAGTAGCGCTCGAAAGTCTTCGGTGAAATGCTTTGACGCTGTTTCTTTCATAACATTTTTCGTAGTAGACCAAATCGCGCGAAAATTGGATATGTTCATCTAGAGCATATTCC